CCATCATGTACGCCTGGTACTTCCCCAAGGGTCGACAGTACATTCGCAAGTACCGGTCTGGCCACCGTCACTACTGGTCGTACGCTATCGTTTGGACGGACAATCCGAACCCCGACAACTCGACCATCCTCGGTGTGTCGATGTCCTCCGGTGTCGGCTACATGAAGCGCTCGCCTCCGAAGTCCGAGTACGTTATTGATGGCACGACGGTCAAGTTCGATTCGTACAATAGTTTCTGGGGTAGCAAGCAGGGAGTCCGACTCACGAAGAAATCCGGCGACACTCAAGACCTCATCACGTGGGAGCAGCTTTCGAAACAGGCTCGAACTGCTTTGAGCGAGGCCGACTTTGATGTCCAGTGGACTTTGAAGAAGGTGGTCATGCCGTTGAAGGACGGCGCGTTTACGGATAGACTTCAGAAGGCGTATCCGTTTTAGATTATTGTTTTGCTGTTGGCTAAGCACATGAATCTTTATCTTCAACTGGTTATTAATACGTATTACTTAATTTTAAGTGTGTTTACATGTTCGTGTTATTGAACTCATTTCCCCAGTGAGTGACAGCAGTTCTTGTCTCCTACTAGTAACACTTTAAAGACCACGATCGGAACTGGTTCATGGCTCGATTGACTGGGTCCGAAGTTAAATCTTGACGATTGTGATACATCGTTGCATTCTACAGTCGACGCTCATAAACGATCATCCCATTATCAGCATACTGCTGTATTGGTCAGGACTCCCGACTCAGGACTCCTGAGTCAGGAGGGAAGCCAGCGTGCGCATCAGTAGCTAGTAATGCCACTACCGATACTTCGTGCGTATTATTTACAAAGGCCCTAAGGAGATGCATAATGTTCACCGGATGGGTTAACTTTTTTTTTGGTTATATTTGAACATGATCTGGATTCTGGTTGGAAGAAGCGATAGCAGAAGAATACTGAAAGTAAGATACTCGTAGACGATGAGAGCGGAGTGCACGAGTTCAAATGAAACTACAGCTCCTGTGATTTAAATTACTGGTATGTTTCCGTTTACTAGAATTAGTAAAACGTTAGAACGCCAAGTTTCAAATTCAAATACAGTTTTGAGACTAAAACTAGATCACTGTAACCGTATAATGCTATTTTTTTTTTATTTTACTTTAAATTACACAATAACGCGTATGGTTTCGTCTTCACTATTAATAGACTCGGAACTACTTGTGCAAAACTTTCAAAGCATTTTTGCCGCAAATCGAATTCTAAAATACATGAGAAAATGTACTGTCAGAGACTCAGTCCGGGGGAACTGAAATGCATGCTTAGGTTGACTATGAGTTCTGAGGCGCACTTCTAACCACTTTTGTCAAGAAAAACCCACTATGTTTCTAATTTTTAGTGCAGGTGTACTAACCTTTTGAGCAAAAACAAAGTGGATGAATTGATAGAGCTATACATGCAGTGTGAATAGAAAAATGCATAATTTAAGTCGAAAAAGGACTTAACATCGAATAACCGCCTCACTAATAAGGCGGTAACACGAGAAATTTAGTCGATCTTATCTCGTATTGTTACAGCACCAATAAAAAAACGACACAATATTTTCAATGGTACGTCGTAAGTTATTCAATTATTGTTTGTCAGGCTTTTACGGCCCGACCAGATCCCAATTTCAACAAAAACAGCTGTGCAAATATCTTTTTCAAGTACATTGTCTAACGACACACAAACCCCGAATATTTTATTTCAGTATGCATCGAACGCGCCGCATCACTTCGCTACATCGGTTGAGCCGTCGAGCACGAGAGCTCCATTGGAACCCGATTCAGATCGCCAATGAGCTGTCCGACGTTACTTGTGAGTGCCTGGCTCATTTTGGATCAAAAAATGTTGTATTTTTACACAATTCCTCCCTGTTTCTAGCAATTCCATCCAACCATGTGGTTGTCGTGTCACTGCCGCTGTCAATGCCATTGACCCGATGGAGCTGGTCGCTTTGCTCACTCTTCCTTTTGCAACGTGAAGTAAAGATAAGATGAGGGTTATACTGCCTCTGACCGTCTTGGGTCTGTCGTTGGCGAATGCCAATAGTGCTCTCCTGCCTTCGACCTACGCAGGCTCCAAGGGTCTACACGAGTTGGCCAAAGCTCAGGGCAAGTACATGGGCACAGCTACAGACAATGGCGAGCTCACGGACACAAACTACGTCGCGGCACTGCAGAACATTAGTGACTTCGGCATGATCACTCCCGGTAACGCCATGAAATGGGACGCCACCGAGCCTACGCAAAACACATTCACTTACACAAAAGGCGATGCCATTGTGACGCTGGCTAAAGAGATGGGCGCTCGAGCGCGTTGCCACACACTACTGTGGCACCAGCAGGTTCCGGATTGGGTCAAAAGTTTAAGTAAAAGTGAGATGCTCGCCGCTTTAGAGAACCATATTACGGAGGTGATGACCCATTTCGGAGACTCGTGCTACGCCTGGGACGTTGCCAATGAAGTCATGGGCGACGACGCCACGTACCGCAAGTCGTTCTGGTACAATACGACGGGCACGGACTACATCACGACGGCGTTTAAGACTGCAAATTCGGTCAAAAAGTCGCTTGGTTTGAGTACTAAATTGTACTACAATGACTATAACACCGACACGGTCAATGCCAAGTCGACGGCTGTTATGGATATGATCCAGACGCTGCTGCTCGATAAAAACATTGGCATTGATGGAGTAGGTTTCCAGTCGCACTCGAGCTACTCGGACACTGCTACAGCTAAAGATATAGTGACGAACCTAGAGCGCTTCACTGCTCTAGGACTGGACGTGGCCTTCACGGAACTTGATGTTAAGACAAGCTCCACTACGCCGTCGGAAGAGGAACAAGAGCAGCAAGTCGCAGTATACACCAACGTGGTGTCTGCGTGTCAGCAGGTGGAGGACTGTGTCGGTGTGACGATCTGGGACTTTGATGACACGTACACGTGGCTGGAGAACTCGGCCCCGCTCCCCTGGTACCAACCGAATGGCAAAGGAACGGGACTGGTCCGCAAACGCGCATACGACGGAATTGCAGCTGGATGGGGCACAGCTGCAGTGTCCTCGGACACGTCAAGTGGTACTACTGAAAGTGCCAGTGTCCAAGGTGAGAGTAGTCTTGAGGATGAGTCTTCGACGACAAATATCTCTACTGGCTCCGAAACTACTAGCATGGAGACGGAAGCCTCGAGTGGTACAGACAGTGCTACACAGACCTCGAGCGGCAGCAACACTCAAGCGTCAATTGCAAGCAGCTCTAT